GGCTGATTTGGCCGACGCCACAATTTCCTCCCGATACCGTCCCAAATATCCTTAATTGCAGACAAACCCGGCGGTTTTGTAGCCCAATGAAAAACATGAACCTTGATTTGTTGCAGGAAGGTCCTGGTCACACGGCTCGTTTGGGATGTTTATTGTCATGTCGGAAATTTGCCGCCGCTCCCTGAACCCGCAGGAAAGGGACATTCACAGGTCTTATTTCATCACAATATCGCGCCGCATGTAAATTGCCATTAACCATCATCAACATGGTACGATTATCGCCAGAAATACCGCCCCAGACCATGGCGTTCCCCTGCCAAACATGTCACGTTGGGCAACACAACAGTTTTTACCACGGCGTCGCCAGAATCACTGCCTCAAATCACCATAAATCAAAGAATATCGCGACTCATCCGAAAACAAAACGTAATTAAATTGCCGTAATTACCATGTGTGGTGTGCTTGACCCCAGTTAGACGATTGATACGATTACGTCGCGTTAACACGTGGCCGGTGTAAGGCCATCTCGCATGCATGCGGTGCATTTTCAAACGGTTTTGTATCGTGTTGCCACTTACAGGACGACCAAGCAATGTTCTTACCGTCACAGCTGCAGGAAAACCGCGGTCGCGAAGATGCTTCAGCCGTATTAAGCGGTCTTTGTGAGGTCGTAACTCGTGGTCTACTGGTTCTTTGACTGTTGGACGTCGACGCCGTCGCGTTTAAACGTTGCAGTACATTTGTGGGATCGCACAACGTTACACGATGTGCGGTGTGCGCACGATGTGTGCATGGTGTGCGAACGATACAAAATTGAACGATCATTCCTTGCGCACATTTGTGCGGACGATCGACGAACGTTGGGCGATAACAATCGTGATTGGTGTAAATTAAGGAATGGCTTGACAATATATACGGTTTCGTGTTTGAACATAAAATTAGATTTTTTAGTATGTTTCTATACTCTAGCTTATCTTTCTGTCTATACTTCCTTAAATTTAGAAATGGTGTTTTGTGGGTTTTTTAAACGACCTTAATCGACACGTGTACATTTACAACACAGTCTCGGCTACACAGGTAAACGTTGCCACTTTGTACCTGGACCGTAGTTTACCCCGCCCGGGGCACTTACGTAACTCGCCAAGGTTTGAAAACCAGATGAAGGGGAGCTATAGACCAAAACGAATGCAGATAACAAATATTAAACGTCCAGTTGAGTTTTCATAACGGTCATACGGTATCATATATCAGCTCTATGTGTCAAGTACAGGCCAGGTAAAACTCCGGTCACTCATCAAATTGTTATTTACCTGTTCTGTAACCGAGGAGCCAAACCCATTCCTGACAGTCTAACGGTCACTGTATACTGTATTACACGCATTGGAAATTTGTACATACTCTTAATTATAGCAGAGACGTATACGTTTATTTTTTCCATTCCGTAATATTGATCAACAAATTGTACCATATCGCACGGATGTGCGGAGAGAAGTGCACAACGGGGCGAACGATTGTTAAATCGCACAGTTGTGCGCACCATGTGTGGACGATGGGCGGACGGTGTGTGAACGATGTATGCACGGTGTGCGCACGGTATTTTTGATGCGTTGTGCGTTCCCACAACTGTAACTGTTTTACAGTTTTAAGGCTACACCAAAACGTCTCGCAACTACACGTTGCGTCACCCCTACGTAGTTAGTATTCTCATAGAAAGGGTTTTGCAAATGCGTTTACACGAGAAAAGTGAACAAATCTGTTTTGAGCTACAGAGTGATTGGCGAAGTTCACGCTTGACTGATGGAATGGAATACACTGCTAATCGATACAGTTATTCATACCAAACTCAATAGCCGGTAAAACGTAATTTTATAATCAACGATATCTAGTGTTCTGCAAGTAACATATAAACTTTTCTTTTTTGCCGAGTATGCCTTTCACTAACATTCGTCTCCGTATACAACTTCATGTTCCTAAATTGTATCCTTAATAAGGTCATGGTCAGGTAGGAAGGATGCTAGATTATATTTATATTGGCTGTGACAAGTTGGAAAACATGTTTTTTTGTCGATGTAGAGTAGCAACTTTGTTTTATCCAGTTATTGTCACCAATGTCTTCAAATCACCAGCTTCAGACCCTCCGACCTGGTTGAGGAGCGACCACGTGTGAACTGTTCCTGATTTACAACGCGATGATCAAGTGGACAGACGTCTGATTGTCAGTACGGCGTCTGGGCGTTGTCTTTAGAGAGTCAGATAGACATGCTTCCTGTGCTTTTGGTATGTCAATGATTCAAACATTACACCAGAAACAGTCGTGATATCTCGCTTTATAAAGACTGAAGGGTAACCGTTACAATTTAGTCTTGCTTGCTTGTTAAGGACAAGCTTTACCGCTTATGATTACTTGATGTAATTAATGAAATGGACTATACAAAGATAACAATTTTCAAAAAAGATACCACATTAGGATTAAAGTAGTCAGCGACTCGGCAAGTAATATCGCAATGATGTATTGGGGGGTTTGTATAAAACACGCACTACGAGGTAGATATAAAATGTATCTCTATTACCAGGTACAAACTAAATACATCAGTGTAACCAGTTAAAGAAAAGAAACAGAAAAATGTGTAAGGGTAAACAAAACTATAATTCGAAATCAATTAGATGAAACTATGACGAAATTTGATCAACGGAAAGATGCACATGGAGTGGTTAGAAAACTTACTGGACAATAAGACAAGGTTGTTTTTGCAATGATAAACGTCCTCTGTTTCATCGACAAAGCCTGCCAGGAACATATAGGGGAAACATAGGAATATCACGTCTACAAAGTAAGAAATGTGAAAGCGACACCAATGCAACAAGGTACATTAATGAACATATTAAAAAGAAATATTTAGCAACATATTGCACAACGATGTAGAATGTTTCGTAATGAGATCATGATGGAAACTGCACAATGTAGTCGTCTTCAACTTTCTTCTCTCGGAACCTTGCTTGTTCATCACTTATAATGTACGGAGCAATCTATTGAGTAACTAATCAACTGCAACATGTAAAGGCAGGAGGATAAAGCGAAAGCTTACGATAGGAAATTCGAAATGTTCACGTTTAACGTACTGTCTAGTATATTATAGTTGGCCGTCTCGTGTTGGTCATGTTTAAAGAAAAGATCGATAAAATCGAATTAAAAGCATGGAATAAAGTTCGTATACAACGAAGAATGTAAAACACCATGTACTCAAGTTCGTATACAACGAAGAATGTAAAACACCAAGGACTAAAGTTCGTATACAACGAAGAATGTAAAACACCATGTACTCAAGTTCGTATACAACAAAGAATGTAAAACACCATGTACTCAAGTTCGTATACAATGAAGAATGTTACATGTAAACACCGTGGACTAAAGGATGCATGCAACGAAGAATGTTACATGTAAAAACCGAGGACTAGAGTATGTATACAATGAAAAATGTAAAACACCCTGGACTAAAGTATGAATACAATGAAAAATTGTTAACACTGTGGACTAAAATATTTATACAATAACAATTGTTAACATTTTGGACTAAAGAATGTTTACAACCAAGAATGTTACATGTAAACACCGTGGACTACAGTATGCATGCAACGAAGAATGTAAAACACCCTGGACTAAAGTATGTACACAACGAAAAATTGTTAACAACGTGGACTAAAGTATGTATACAATGAAGAATGTTACATGTAAACACCGTGGACTAAAGTATGAATACAATGAAAAATTGTTAACACTGTGGACTAAAATATTTATACAATAACAATTGTTAACATTTTGGACTAAAGTATGTTTACAACGAAGAATGTTACATGTAAACACCATGGACTACAGTATGCATGCAACGAAGAATGTTACATGTAAACACCGAGGACTAAAGTATGTATACAATGAAGAAAGTATAACTGAGGAATAAAGTTTGTATACATGAAGAAAACAATCACGAGTGTCAAAATATGATTCAATGCAATTTCAGTCAGCATGTTTTAGATCATTTTAAATTATACATCGGTATGGTGTATGGATTAATTACTTCAGTCCTCAATATTTGACAAAAATATTTATATCTTCATTCATCTTTTTACTTCTTGATGCATTTTTTTTATTTATCTTTCTTTTTAATTATGAAAATATTTGAATAAAAAAATATTATTTCATTTATTGAATGAAATTATCTCGATGTTAATCATAATATTAGGCAAAAAATGTGTTCATTCTCTCACAGAATGGACAGTTTTCGGCTTTCGCCTTCTTAAAAATTAGTGCCCATTTGTATTAATAATGGGACACCGTTGTATAAGGAACGGGCAGTTATTAAACAACATATCGGTAATGAAGTAACGTGTACATAATGTAGCAATGACAAGGTATTTACAGCATGAACTGTTGTCATTCGTGTATGAATGCATATTGTTAACTTATTGAATAGGTGAAGATAGCGTGATTTATTTGGAAATACATATGCATTTCATATCTAAATACTAATACAATGAATTCTAGATAGGTATTTATCAATCAGTCCAGCTTAGTCATTTCAAGCGAGAACACACAATTCTCAAGAAATGAAATTTGGTAAAATGTGCTGGTGTTTAAAACTATTTGTGTTACCTGTAACGGTCCATTGATGCGTTATTTAATACGAGTATGGACAGCTACTGATTAATAATCGAAAGATGAATGTACATTTTTGTATATTCCACTATGTAAATGTACATGGAGAACAAAGGATTAAATATATAATTAAATCCAATAAAGTTAAAACTACGTCGAAATGTAACTTAAAAACCGTTGGAAAAAATATGTTCACGTTTAACGTTGCCGTTATACAGACGTAGTTTTTATGGACAGGAAAACATAGTTGACGTAGACTTAGCGTCACTAGGATAGGGTTGTGATAAGAAGGTACCGTTTTACAGAGGTGGTTGTTATAGACAAGAAAACAAATTTTACGTAGACTTACCGTCACTAGGATAGAGTTGTGACAAAATAGTGATGTTACATTCGTACCACGCCATCCAAATCCTACGTATCATCTCTTCCTCTGGATTTAGTGAGCGCACAGGCAAGGCACCGCTTGTGGTGTCGGTAGTAGGTAGAATGTCCAGTTCCGTTATGTTTGTGAACAACATGGTATCCATTTTACTACCTAGCATAAATCACTCAAACAGCTTAGCAATCCAGTTGCTGAATCCATGCATATGTGAAAAGTGAAATAAGAAGCTCGCATGTCTGTTTTTCGGTTTCATTCATAACAAAACATATCCAGCCGAGAACATGGCACTGTATCCCAGTTTCAGTCCTGTATATTTGATACTGGCCATGGAAATCCCCATACGGGTACTAAGTGTTTTCCAGCCGATGACTCTGTGGTGTGGTTAAGGGTGCTAGAATTCAGATAACTTGTAAGTCAAGAGCAACATTTGCATATACGTTTCGGACACATTGTCCTGTAATTGAAGTCCACTAATAAAACGCAAGTTCCGGCCGACTGTCATGATGCTGTACCAAGGTATTGTAGCTTGTTTACCGAGACACACGTAAGAGGGTAACTAGCGATGTGATTAACGGTCAGCCATGATGCTGTACCAAGGTATTGTAGCGGTATACCATGTCCAATGTGATGATAACTAGCGTTGTCAGGGACAGTGACTGACCTCCCCGTAACGTGTCCTCGTATACAAACGACGCGTGTCGTCTGTGATCGGTTCGTCTGGTTAAAGGTACTGCTGCAGCAATATGCTAGGTTTTATACTTAGCTGCCGCTTGTCGGGCGTGGTGTCATACATCAGTACTTAATGAAATCGAATGTAGCGTGACCCTGAGCTCAGGTACTAATTAGACAGGTGATGTGTAACTCACAACAATGCGGTCAAGGTACGTGTGATGTAAAATAAAGGCTAGACAGGTGATGTGTTTGTCAATTGTCAGACATTGAAACAAATGGGTTGTATGGTACCAATCAGACAGGTGATATGTGGTATATTACACCAATGAGATAACGAACGTGACATATAATATGTTTATAACATCTATCAGACAGGTGATATGTGGTATAGTACATCTATCAGACAGGTGATATGTGATTAATTACATATATCAGACAGGTGATATGTGGTATATTACATCTATCAGACAGGTGATGTGTGGTATATGACAGCAATGAGATAACGAACGTGACATATAATATGTTTATATTACACCAATGAGATAACGAACGTGACATATAATATGTTTATAACATCAATGAGTCATGTGATATGTGGTATATTACATCTATCAGACAGTTGATGTGTGATTAATTACATATATCTGACAGTTGATATGTGGTATATTACATCTATCAGACAGGTGATGTGTGGTATATGACAGCAATAAGATAACGATATATATCATATCAATGATATATGATTATTACATTAAAGGGACAGACAATGAGTGATTAATTACATATATCAGACAGATAATATGTTGTTTTTTACACCAATGAGAGAGGTGATATGTGATTAATTACACCAATGAGACAGGTGATATGTGGTTTATTACACCAATGAGACAGGTGATATGTGGTGTTTTTTTTTACAGAAGTCCTGTAATATTACCCCCGCCCTGGGTACAATGATACCTGTAACCATCCCATAGAAGTCCTGTAATATTACCCCCGCCCTGGGTACAATTATAACTGTTACTGTCCCCTAGATCTCCTGTAATATTACCCCCGCCCTGGGTACAATTATAACTGTTACTGTCCCCTAGAAGTCCTGTAATATTACCCCCGCCCTGGGTACAATGATAACTGTTACTGTCCCCTAGATCTCCTGTAATATTACCCCTGTCCTGGGTACAATGATAACTGTTACTGTCCCCTTGATCTCCTGTAATATTACCCCCGCCCTGGGTACAATGATAACTGTTACTGTCCCTTATATCTCCTGTAATATTACCCCCGCCCTGGGTACAATGATAACTGTTACTGTCCCCTAGATCTCCTGTCATATTACCCCCGCCCTGGGTACTATGATAACTGTAAGCATCCCCTAGAAGTCCTGTAATATTACCCCCGTCCTGGGTACAATGATAAATGTTACTGTCCCCTAGATCTCCTGTAATATTCCCCCTGTCCTGGGTACAATGATAACTGTTACTGTCCCCGAGATCTCCTGTAATATTACCCCCGCCCTGGGTACTATGATAACTGTAAGCATCCCCTAGAAGTACTGTAATATTACCCCCGTCCTGGGTACAATGATAACTGGTACTGTCCCCTAGATCTCCTGTAATATTACCCCTGTCCTGGGGACAATGATAACTGTTACTGTCCCCTTGATCTCCTGTAATATTACCCCCGCCCTGGGTAAAATGATAACTGTTACTGTCCCCTACATCTCCTGTCATATTACCCCCGCCCTGGGTACTACGATAACTGTAAGCATCCCCTAGAAGTCCTGTAATATTTCCCCCGTCCTGGGTACAATGATAAATGTTACTGTCCCCTAGATCTCCTGCAATATTACCCCCGTCCTGGGTACAATGATAAATGTTACTGTCCCCTAGAACTCCTGTAATATTACCCCCGTCCTGGGTACAATGATAACTGTTACTGTCCCCGAGATCTCCTGTAATATTACCCCCGCCCTGGGAACAATGATAACTGTTACTGTCCCCTAGATCTTCTTTAATATTACCCCCGCCCTGGGTACAATGATAAATGTTGCTGTCCCCTAGATCTCCGGTAATATTACCCCCGCCCTGGGTACAATGATACCTGTTACTGTCCCCTACATCTCCTGTAATATTACCCCCGCCCTGGGGACAATGATAACTGTTACTGTCCCCTAGATCTCCTTTAATATTTCCCCCGCCCTGGGTACAATGATAACTGTTACTGTCCCTTAGATCTCCTGTAATATTACCCCCGCCCTGGGAACAATGATAACTGTTACTGTCCCCTTGATCTCCTGTAATATTACCCCCGCCCTGGGTAAAATGATAACTGTTACTGTCCCCTACATCTCCTGTAATATTACCCCCGCCCTGGGTACTATGATAACTGTAAGCATCACCTAGAAGTCCTGTAATATTACCCCCGTCCTGGGTACAATGATAAATGTTACTGTCCCCTAGATCACCTGTAATATTACCCCGCCCTGGGTACAATGATAACTGTTCCTGTCCCCTAGATCTCCTGTAATATTTCCCCTGTCCTGGGTACAATGATAACTGTTACTGTCCCCTTGATCTCCTGTAATATTACCCCCGCCCTGGGTAAAATGATAACTGTTACTGTCCCCTACATCTCCTGTCATATTACCCCCGCCCTGGGTACAATGATAACTGGTTCTATCCCATAGATCTCCTGTAATATTACCCCCGCCCTGTGTACAATGATAACTGGTTCTATCCCATAGATCTCCTGTAATATTACCCCCGCCCTGTGTACAATGATAACTGGTTCTATCCCATAGATCTCCTGTAATATTACCCCCGCCCTGGGAACAATGATAACTGTTACTGTCCCCTTGATCTCCTGTAATATTACCCCCGCCCTGGGTAAAATGATAACTGTTACTGTCCCCTACATCTCCTGTAATATTACCCCCGCCCTGGGTACAATTATAACTGTTACTGTCCCCTAGAAGTCCTGTAATATTACCCCCGACCTGGGTACAATGATAACTGTTACTGTCCCCTTGATCTCCTGTAATATTACCCCCGCCCTGGGTACAATGATAACTGTTACTGTCTCCTAGATCTCCTGTTATATCACCCCCGCCCTGGGTACAATGATAACTGTTACTGTCCCCTAGATCTTCTTTAATATTACCCCCGCCCTGGGTACAATGATAACTGTAACCATCCCCTAGAAGTCCTGTAATATTACCCCCGCCCTGGGTACAATGATAACTGTTACTGTCCCCTATATCTCCTGTAATATTACCCCTGCCCTGGGTACAATGATAACTCTTTCTGTCCCATAGATCTCCTGTAATATGACCCCCGCCCTGTGTACAATGACAACTGTAACCATCCCCTAGAAGTCCTGTAATATTACCTCCGCCCTGGGTACAATGATAACTGTTACTGTCCCCTACATCTCCTGTAATATTACCCCCGCCCTGGGTACAATGATAACTGTTACTGTCCCATAGATCTTCTGTAATATTACCCCCGCCCAGGATACAATGATAAATATAACTGTCCTCTAGATCTCCTGTTGTATTCTGTCTTAATGGTAATGTTAAATTCTTGTGGCTATTCGCTTCTATTGCTCCTGTGGAGAGTCGAACTTAATTGTACGTCGTACCACGCGACAGTATGACGCCTGTAGTTCAACTTTTATCTGTATAAATGGAACCAATCAATCGAAATTAAATGGCTAATGTAAATGAAGAATAACTAGCTCAATATTGAAATTGTCCTTTAACACTGAAATTTCACAATAACACATTTGTCTTTCACACAAAATGCCATTACCTCTGAACATTTAATTTAATTTATTTTTCCTCTCAACATTATTTGAAATTAATGATTGAGTAATTACTTCATTAAACGAAACCCAATCCACATCTGAAAGTTATCAAGATCACAAGGAGGATCATTTCTGTTTCTATGGAGACAAGACCAAATACAAAACTCCAGTATAGCATGAACAGTTATAAATCATGACCATAGTGCCTTTTTGTTATAGCAAGTTTATAACCACGTTACTTGTGCGGGCATTCCAATACTAAGTTTATACTTTTTATTCTTGCATACTAGACCGAGATATCCGCATTTCCGGCGGTGCTGGACAATTTTATCTGACTCACAGGTCTAAATCGCTTACACGCGCAGACTGGCGGGGAAATTATAGTGACCTTTCGGGGTCACGCTATTGTTCGTGACGTCATTTTATGGCATTTTGGGGTCAGTCAGGGTCATTGACGTCATTAACAATGGTCATCCGTGCTGCTGATGCAAATGAGAAATGCGTGGACAATGTGCGTGGCCCCCTGGGGTCAGAGTTGCGGGGCCCAATAGGGGAAATAGAGGTAAAAACCTTTGAAATCTTTCTTCTACAAAATGAATTAAGGGATTTTATTCTAATTTGGTCTTGAATATTCTTGGGCCAAGGGGACTCAATTTTGTGTAAACAGTAACATGTGGCCCTCCTGAGGGCAGAGGGGTGGGGCCTAATAAAGAAAATAGAGGTAAATACATTTGAAATTCTACTTC